TATTTCTCACCCAGCTGCTCCCATATAACCATAGATCCCCGATCGCTACTAGTATGGTCCACTATACCAAAAATTACTATATGTAAGATAATAACACCCTTATTGTGCACAATTTCTATGCTCAAACACCACCACAAATAAAATGGTTCAACACATTGTAGCCAGCTATTTCAACTTTAATAAATATACCATTTCAAAATTAAATGTTCTGTAGCGCTTTCAAATATTTCAACACTAACAGAAATACCATCCGTGTGTTACGTATCTAGTAATGTTATGTATCTAGTACAGCGGCTTTACTTCTGTGGGCAGCTTCGGCTATTATGGCCAGCTGCCAACCCGCATGTTTTGCAAGTACGCTTCTTTTTGAATTGCTCAATAATTGCCACCTCCTTGGCTGATTTCATTCGCTTGCCAGACCCTTTGGTCTTCGCAACTTGGGGGGGGGTGCACTTTAATCGTGTCTGGCTCTGGAACTCCACAATATGCTTCCATAACTGCCCGTTTCGCGTTCCCTTCTGCCCTGTTGACTTCTTTATCGCACAATGTTGCTTCCAATTCTTCAATCACATTTGTAATCTGTTGCATTTTTTCACCATTACCTCTAGCCATGCCTAAACATCTGTAAATTGTGTTTATAACTTTCCCTTCCACGGTGGTATTATGTCCGTTGTTGTTCGCCCCTATTTGTCTCCTTACGCCCGCACCTTTTTCTATATGTTTCACCGCCTCTTTTGTCCATCTTGGAGTAATATGTTGTGGAGGTATGTGGTCGATCCGTTCATCTTTTAATACTACAAATACATGTCGACATAGCAGCCCGATCCTTGTGTATAATCGACATGTGCAACTTGTATTATTGCTCACATCCTCAACTATGACGGTGTATCTTTTATTGGTCCCGTCTTCGACCACATATGTCTTCACCCCCTCAGCTTCGGTGTACGATCTCACCCGGCATGTAGACCAACCCTCACATATTTCTTTTTGTACATCGGAGAACACAGTCAATGTGTACACCGTTGCTGCTTCTCGCTCTATGCGCAGGAGGGTCTTGAGAGGTGGTGTTTGCCCGATGCAAGCTGCGCTAAGTTCCAGATGCTTGTCGCGTTGTTTCCGAACTGCACTTTCAAAATGTTTGAAGAATTCAACAAGACATAAATGCTTATTAGTATTACTCTGAAAAATTCTGTTCTCAGCTTCTGAACGTGAAGTGGTACGCAATAGGCCCCCCATAAACACATCTTCAAAAAATGGAGGCACCCAAGACGCACGCTCATCATACATACGTTTCAACCAACGATTCTCCAGTAGGCCATACTTCTGAATAACTTCATTCCACGCGCTCTCAAATCCTATGGTCGTTGATTCCTCGTTCCACACAACGGCATTCAACGCACGCCTAAACTCCTCGTTCTTCGCTAATGTATCACCAACTTTGTCACCCACCTTAGTCATAATATGCCACATACAGTAACGGTGACGAGTCCCCGGGAATTCCGTTTCAATCGCAACCTTCATAGCTGGATCTTGATCCGTTATTACGATAGGTGGTGTACTTCCCATAGCATTCTTGAAGTTTCTAAGGATCCAACTATACGATTCCACGTCCTCTTTATCAATTAGTCCCGCAGCAAATGTCACGCATCTCTTATGGTTGTCTATACCTGTGAATGGGACAAACACGAGATTGTACCTGCGATCACCAACAAGCATCAATTAGCCAACATGCAAATGTCACAACACCACACACATTGTTACTTGCACATACTCCTTAAATTCCATGCTCATCTCACAATTAAATTTTTTATATTTCCATTTCTAAATGTACTTGCACTGCCACGTTATATACAAATGTCTACAGTTACTACATAACATGCACCATACATAACATGCACCATTACGCACAGACACATACCAAAATAATACTGAATAAGATGCACCATATGTAATCACTGCAAAACTTGCAGGTATACACTTTTTATTTAATTTTTTATCGACATGTTTACAAAAGCCTAGTAGTCATATGTACCTGTTAGTTTTGTATGTTGCATCGAATGACACCACATCTCCAAAAGCCCCATAGTGCAGTCTTGCCCGCCTATCCGCCCAAAACACCCGAGCTAATTGGTCTTTCTCGTTCACATCGTACTCAAAATACATATCTACGCAATCATTTTTCTTCTCTAGGTATTGGGATATCACCATCTGTATATCTTTCTCTTTCATGTACGCCAAAAGCTCTCGCCTGTAATTCTTGAAGTCTTGTTGCGTAGCTCCAACATTCTCGGGCCCACCAACCATTTCGGCGTATATATCAAAACTCTTGCTAGCCCCAACGTTTACCTTTCCGCAGTTTCTTATGAATTCTTGATGTCCGATGTCTATTTTCCTATTCACTTTCATGAATCTTTTGTATTTCTCCTCGCACAGGACGTGTGTGTGTCTGTCTACAAATGTCTTTACTACATACTTCCCCTCTTTATTCAACGTCAATACAAATCTAGCAGGGCATCCTACTCTGTTCGTCGTCCTCCGGCGCTTCTGTTTTGTTGTTTCTTCCTCGATAGTCTCTTTATCTTTTGTCTCTTTAAACCCTTCCCGTGAACATACCACTTGTTTTTTCATAATTTGGCTGTATTTGTTTCTTTTATCGGAACTGCGACGCACATCAAATCCAACTATGCCAGCGTACGTCGTATAGAACGTGATCCCATTTTCCATTGTGTCGAATTTCTGTCCTTCAAATGGGTTCAAACTTGCGTCACATTCAGGTATCCAAGTGTGTGTACCACCAGGCGATACATCCATAACACAAGTGCCTCCGTTATCCATTTCTTCATTGCTTACAGCAACACCCACTCCTAGGAAACTTGTTACATATATATGTATTTTCAGAGTTTAGTACATGATACATTTTAACCCACACACTTGTAAATTATGTTGACGATCGCACACAAATAATCACCGCGTTTCATACCCATTTAAATGATAACTCCTGTTTTCGATTACTATATAATTTTCTGCACCCTTAACATATTTCTTCACGAACATACCATCTTCTGTTCTGGTTATTCTTGTTTAGATAGTTTTAACGAATTCAACCCACATAATCGTCCATTACGCACAGACCAGACCTCACACTTGCACAGACATCACTCCTTCCTACCAATTACCACACGGTTAACATAAACTGTTCTCAGTCATTAGATTATTACCACATGCAAACACCCATTAATATTTTCACGATACCAAAACATGTATACATGTTGTTGGAATTTTTTTTTTTACCTTCTACCAATAAATGTACGCATGCGGTGTTCATATCGGAAAAGGACTTATAAACCACTTCACATTACATAGCCAACATAAGATGTTGCATATGCCCTCTCAAAGTCATGCTCCCACACCCTCATGTATTACGCGGATATTTCCCTTCGCAATTACAATTATTCTTACTCTTGATATCCTAATATACAATACACGCAATCACCTAATCAACAACTCGCACACACCACACAAACCACAAACATCCTTGCGTTACACTCAGGCCACCACATGGCTTTGTTTACGATGTTGCACATGCCATAACGTACGCAAGCACTACATTTTCAAACAACCAAATTTAAAAACAGAAAAAATGGCACACATACCGGATGTCGCACACGCCATGCACACGAGCCCAACCAGGCTTCTCCCACGTTTAAGCTTGGAATGCACAAGCCACCTTTGTCTTTTCTAATCTCCAGTCAGACTCTACCGTGGAACATATAGGAATGTTTGGATTTTAAATGGTATGATTACTAATTACCAATCTTAAGCAGGCTATTACTGTGCATAAGAATATATTAATATTCTTCCCAAAATTAAATACAACAACAATTTTACGTGAATATCCCTATGATCAATATTTGGCCATAATTAGTTGCTCAATATCTTTTAATCTTAGCCATTAAATTTAAAAGGGTGAATGGTGATGATGGGATCTCATTATCCCATTTTAATTAGGTACCTCATGGGAACCAAAGCCTATATATGTATATATATATATATATATATATATATATATATATATATATATATATATATATATATATATATATATATATATATATATATATGAGATTGAAATGTATTTCATCAATCACTCCCTAATGCAACAGCTAAATTATATATAGTCCATGAGACAACTTAATGACATGAAGCTAGTTTCAACAAAACACAACATAACAATAACAATTTTATACAAAAAGCATCAATATTCAAAGCAAATGAAAAATAAATTTCATATCAATATAAACAAAAGAAGTGAACTTACATCATCCAAAAGCACATTGTCAATAGAAGTTACCTGCATTGTAATGCAAAATATAAGAATATTCAAAAAGGAGGCAATAACCTTATGCTAATAAAAAATAAATAAATAACTTGATACGCACCTAGATAGATCATTCAAGTCATCTAACAAATTTTTTTTCCAAAACACAACTTATATATATACATATACTCGTAAAAGTAATATAAATTTGTATTTTACCTTAATACTAAAGTCAAAAGAAACAATGTTAATATCCTGAGTTCTAAGCACCCTGCAACATAAAAATATAGTCATTTGGTACAATGAAATCCAAAAATAATATAAGTTAGTTACTCTGTATTTCTTTATATAAGCAACAACTAAATGTTTGTCTCAATTAACTTTATGTACCTGTTCAATGTCATCATTAGTTGTAGTTCCAAGTGATGTTAAATCTCCATTCTCTATTTGGATCAACCTACTTTCAAATACATCCATGCGCCTCTTAAGGTCACGGTTTTCTTCATCCTTCTCATGGAGCTTAGCCTCTAACTCTTTGATATAAGTAGATTTAGAGTCATTAAAAATTTTTCGCTTTACTCCACCCCCATAGCCATATACATGACCATGGCGCTGCTGTCCAAAATGTTTTTCAACAACCTCAAGGTATCCAGATAAAAATAAACAATATTATGCAAAGGGACTAAATAATGACACTTACATATTTTTCTTTTTTTCTTGTTCCATCTAGTTTTTCATTTTTGCATCTTGTCTTTAAGAAAATTACTCCCAAGTCAGGTGGTGTTGAATATTTACCTCCCTATAAGTTGAGGGGAAAAAGAGTCATTTTAGGTGAAGAACTTCATAGATAACTACCACAATTAAGTATAGTTTAGTACATTTTCATATATGATTTCTCTACGTGGCCTACTCCTTGTGCGATGAGGCATTCCCATATCTGATGCAAACCTATTCTTAATATTTTGTTGACTGATCTTCTGCATGAATTTCAAATGAAACAAATATTTAAATAAAAAAGATTTTTTTTTATAATATGTAAAACCATCATTCCTATAAAAGCATACCTGAAACTTTTCTGTCATAAACTTGTTAGTGACAAGCCACTTCCAATCTTCAACATTTACTTCAGGTGGAACATTTTTTAAAGCCTCAATCTTACTTTTGCAAGGCCTCACAAATTTTACATTCAAAACTGACCTCCAATTTGTCCACAAATTACATATATGCTCTAGGGTATCATCACGGTATAATTCAATATTGGGATTATCAAAACATTCCTATAAGAATTTGAAAGAATACAGAAATCTTTTAATTTAAATGTCAATACATAATTATTAAATTTGTAAATAATGTTAAATAACTAATGCATAGAAATATTTTGATTGTTTGGCACTATTAACTTAATACCTTTACTGTTTGGCACTATTAACTTAATACCTTTACTGTTTCCCACATGTGCTGCTTTTCTGTGTTCTGTATATCCTTCCATGAATGCACTTGCATTGGACAAATATTTCAATCACGCATGATTTTTCCTAAGTGTCTTGACCAATATTGACGATTTTTTCCCACTGAACGATTGTTGTAAAATACAATATCATGTTTTTGTCCTTTCTTCAAAGCTACAATTTTTTTGTTCTTGTTTCCCCCTCTTGCTTTTTTTTTCTTTTCTTGGAGATGAAGCTATTAAATATAATGAAACAATCAATATTTGTATACAAGATATATTTAATGTAATACAGAATACATTTATACAATAAGCATAACTCACTTTCAACCATTTTGTTAGATGTGACTGTTAATAAATGTGGCTCAAATTCATTTAGACCATGTTGCCGCGTCCTTCTCCCATGAAGCGCGTATTATTGCCGCAACATGCGCAACATGCTCCATTACATGCATAATTTCCTTTGTTTTTGTGGTCCGGGTCTTTCTCTGTCCGTTTAAAGGTCCAGGTCCACCCGGTTCGCTCCGAGAGGCACAGAAACTGGCCCAAAGGGAATCATCACTTGTGGGAATAGAACCCGGGTTATCCCGGAATTCTCCCCCACAAAGAGAGCTCATTTGCCACTTGAGCTACCCTGTTGGGTTAGTTATTTCCTTTGTAAATCATCCCTTACATCAATTAAGTTGAATTCATCTTATTTCATCCTTCTTTGTTTCTCACGTAATATATATATTATATTCCTTTTAATCCTCTTTATAGAGATTAATATATATACATATATATTTATATTTTCCCATTGTTCGTTATTCATATGTCATTTATATAATTTTCTTCATTTACATATTTTTCCTATTATTTAACTTCTATAATTCTCAATTTTCGATTCTTCGCTTCCGCATTATTTCGCTATATTCCTAACAAGTGGTATCAGAGCGGTTTAATTGAGAGTTATTTTCAAAAATGTCGACTCTTACTAAGTTCGATATCGAGAAGTTCGACGGGAAAATTAGCTTTTCTATTTGGAAGGTTCAGATGGAAGCCGTTCTAACCCAGAACGGTTTGAAGAAAGCGCTAGCTGGGAAGAAGAAGAAGAAGAAACCAGCTACAATGACAGATGAAACTTGGGAAGATTTGGATGACAAGGCACGTTCAACCATTCTTTTGTGCCTGTCTAAAGAGGTTCTACGTGAGGCAGTAAGTGAGACGACAGCGTCAGATTTATGGTCCAAGCTGGATACGCTTTACATGGCCAAAACTCTGGCGAACACGCTGCGCCTAAAGGAGCGTCTGTACACAATCCGTATGACGGAAGGTACTTCTATTAAATCTCACTTGGATGAATTCAATTCTATTTTATTGGACTTGGAAAATATTGATGTCATAATTGAAGATGAGGATCGTGCTATTTTATTGCTTGTCTCTCTCCTTAAATCATACAAGCATTTCAAAGAAATTATGTTGTATGGTAATAGTAGTGATACCCTTACTTTTGACAATGTTAAGTCAAACCTATTGTCCAAAGAAAAGTTTGACTTTGAAATTAAGTCTGAGGACAAAGGTGAAGGCTTGACCGTAAGGGGTCGTTCACTTGAAACAGAGACTAACACTAAAAATTCCAGATCCAAGTACAAAGGACGTAAGTCCAACAAATCCTGCAAGTACTGCAAGAAGCACGGTCATGATGTGACTGAATGCTTTAAGTTGAAAAACAAGCAAGAGAGAGAAAAGTCCGCTGAAGCTAGTGTTGTTGAAAGTGATTCAGAAGGCGATGTTATGTTATCTGTCAGCTCCGGTTGCAAACGGAGCGAAACCGAGTGGATTCTGGACTCTGGTTGTACATTCCACATGTGTCCTCACAAAGACTGGTTCGTCTCTCTAGAACCGGTTGATGGTGATGTTGTCTTGCTGGGTAATGATACCCAATGCAAGGTTCATGGAATTGGAACTGTGCAGATTAAAACTCATGATAACGTTATCAGGACTCTTACCCATGTTCGATATATTCCTGATTTGAAACGCAATCTAATATCATTGGGCACCTTGGAATCTCTGGGGTGCAAGTACATAGCTGAAGGTGGAGTTCTGAAGGTCATAAAAGGCTCTATTATTCTCATGAAAGCTTCTCGTTCCGGAAGCTTGTATGTCTTGCATGGTAGTACTGTGACAGGTTCAGTAGCGGTATCCTCATCGGTGTCTGATTCGGATCTCACTCAATTATGGCATATGCGTCTGGGGCATATGAGTGAGAAAGGCATGCATCTCCTGAGCAAGAAAGGCCTCCTTGGTGGTTCAAGTACGGGTAAATTACAGTTTTGTGAGCATTGTGTTTTTGGGAAACAAAAGAGGGTTAGTTTCTCTACTGCTACACACCGTACCAAAGATGTATTGGAATATATACATTCCGATTTATGGGGACCGACTAAATTCCAGTCTATGGGAGGCTGTAGATATTTCATGTCTATTATTGATGACTTTTCCCGTAAGGTTTGGGTCTATTTCTTGAAACACAAAAATCAGGCTTTTCCTATTTTCAAAAAGTGGAAAATACTTGTTGAGACTCAGACAGGGAAAAAGGTCAAGAAGCTCAGGACAGACAATGGCTTGGAATTCTGTGAGTCAGATTTCAATGACTTCTGTGCGGCAAATGGAATCGCTAAGCACAAGACCTTGCCTGGTAAACCCCAGCAAAATGGTGTTGCCGAACGTCTAAACAGGACACTATTGGTAAGAGCTCGTTGTATGCTCTCTAATGCTGGATTATGGAAACGGCGTGATTTTTGGGCCGAGGCCGTTTCTACTTCTTGCTATTTGGTAAATAGATCTCCACATTCATCTCTTGATTTCAAAATTCCAGAAGAAGTTTGGTCAGGTAATCCTGTTGACTACTCTATCTTAAGAGTTTTTGGATGTCCTGCTTATGCTCATTCCAGTACGGGTAAATTAAACCCGAGAGCTATCAAATGCATTTTCCTTGGTTATGCCTCTGAGTCAAAAGGGTATCGTCTATGGTCTCCTGATTCTCAGAAAATCATTCTAAGTCGAGATATCACTTTTGATGAAAATGCACTACTTTCTTCTGGAAAAGTTCCCAGTACAGATGAGACGCAGAGTACTGGTGAGAAGGTGGAGTTTGAGTTTAGGCCTATTGATAGTGTTACTACTGCTGATGGTAATACTAAAGATGATGCATCTACTAGCACCACACCTCTCGTCGAGCCACAACGAGAGTATTCCATTGCTATGGATCGTCCTAGGAGGACAATTAAAAAACCTGCTAGGTATGCTAGTGATGATGAAACCAACATGGTTGCTTATGCTCTTTCAGTCGCATAGGAAGTTGATGGTGATCCATCCTGCTATTCTGAAGCTTTTCCTATTACTAAGTTCAAGCAGTGCTTGAGTTTAGTCGACTGTTCAAGTTGTTAATTCTCACAATGGATTTGATCCAAGGTGGAGATTGTTAAGAAATAAATGTGGCTCAAATTCAAGCTGCTCAAATTCATTTAGACCATGTTGTCGCGTCCTTCTCCCACGTAGCATGTTCTCCCATGAAGCGCGTATTATTGCCGCAACATGCTCTATTACATGCATAATTCTCTCATTTACTTAGTATAAATAGCAGTAGTTATTTCCTTTGTAAATCATCCCTTACATCAATTAAGTTGAATTCATCTTATTTCATCCTTCTTTGTTTCTCACGTAATATATATATTATATTCCTTTTAATCCTCTTTATAGAGATTAATATATATACATATATATTTATATTTTCCCATTGTTCGTTATTCATATGTCATTTATATAATTTTCTTCATTTACATATTTTTCTTATTATTTAACTTCTATAATTCTCAATTTTCGATTCTTCGCTTCCGCATTATTCCGCTATATTCCTAACAGTGACAAACTCAGGTTCACCAAATTTACCATCTTCACTCATAGGAGTGTACTTTACCACAACATAGTGACCTACAGCTTCTAAGGGCAAATTGGTGAAACTCCTAAACCAAGAAAGATAATTAGTAATCTAAATTATAAATGGGAAAATATATAAAAATAAATAAATTTCTTAATGTGTAACATAAGCATGAGTTTAGGAGCCATATATACACCTTTTCAGTCTGAGATTCACTAATAGCAACAAATAATTGAATTGTGCTTTCTTGTTCAATTCCTCGTATGACAGTCTCACATATTTTTACCTTTTTGTTCACCTTAAAATCACCCAATATCTTAATATTTCTCACTGTTGGATTTAATGGGACATATGAAGCTATAAACATAAAAAAGTAATTAAGTACATGTAATTAAATTTTACAGAAAAAAAAAAAAAAAACTTTTAAAACAATGAATAACCATATATAATGTTACCTGGCATTTTAAAACTCAAAGGTTGGGCATTTTGATCCACTTCCATATAAACATGTATGCAATTAACATGTTCATGATCCATCACCATAGCCAGAACATCTCGATCATTTTTCAAGGGCCTACCATCTCCATCACTGACTTTGATTCCAACAGAATAGATATCAATGAACTTTTTACATATGTTTAAGATATCCAAAAAAGAACTATCTTCATTAAAATTCTTTTCTTGAAATTGTTGTTCCTCAAAGTGCATAACTAGAGTATGAGATGAGAAACCACATTTTGAAAAGAAATAAAATAATAATTAGAATTATAAATACTAGTTCAGGAAATAAAATGAAACATTAACATCATAAAAAAAAATCAAGAATGCATGTTCTTACTATTACTTGAATAGTTGATGCTAGTTTGAATTTCTTGAGCAATCAATGATTGTGAAGTTTCAATTTTACTCATTCCTCAGATTGTAGATGAAAATATATGTAATTAAATAATAAAAAAATAGAATAAGCCAAAGACATGTGATGCATTATCATTTCCAGGGTGATAAGCATTTTGTCTATTTCCATGCCACTAAGCCAACATACTAGGAGCTAAAATTTTAGGAAGCTTGTTATTCATGTCTTTGCTACTTTTTTCATTCATCACCTGATCTGAAAATAAAAAGAAATCATTGATAAACAAAACCACAAATATAAATAATATTAATCATTGAAGAAAAAAAA